TTAAATTAGGTAAACACTAGTTTAAACAATCAATTATTTAATTACTATACTAAATAGAATTATAATGTATTCTTGTAAAAATACAGATACGAATAATAATATATGCTTATAGTACAAATATTGAACTAAAACTATATAACATATATTTGTTGGTATAAGTTATTTCGGATTTAATCTGGTTGGCATCAAATAATAATATGAATATGAATTTCAAATAAGTAATAAATAAATTAATTATAAAGAAATTTATACCAAAAATTTTGCAATACATGATTATTTAGTAATATTATAAGCTTATAAATTATTGTGAGAATTAAAATTATTATTCTTTCCATGTTTTCTATACAAGAAAAGTTTTATCTCAAGTACTATTTTCTATAACAACTTATGTCTCTTATCTTTCACACATAACTACAACTACAGTAAGACGAACTGTTTATCTAATGTTGAGTTTAATATCTATTAAAAGGTGTCATTAACCCCTTTGTTTGACCGATTTCGTCTAATTAGTCAACTATTCAATATTTGGAAGTTTCTATAATAAGATTGAAGATAAGATGAAAGATGGAATGACTCTTGAAAGTTCGGAAAATAAAATCAAATATAGGCCAATACAGACATAGTTAGTTTTATCGATTTACATCATGAAATCATCAAGAAATTATTTTTTTATAATATATATATTTTCTAGTTTTTTTCCTTATCTTTTCTCTTTTTATTATGTATATATTAATAACTAGTATTACTAGTTTAGTTAGTTAGTATCGTGTATATGATATTACTATGGTACTATTATACAAGTTAAGAAAGCTTTTTTTTGTGTTCTATTAATTCTTATAAGCGAAACATATAACAGATCATACTATAAATTTACATTAAAGCTTACAAATTACTAGCAATTTAAGAATACCATATTTCGTAAATATCTCAAGTACATAAAGTGTCAAATGATCTATTCCGTTACTTTTGTTACTCGATGTGTTAATTTTGTAGTCATTTCTGCATTTTTTAGTGAAAGGAAAAGTTCTCGGTGTGATATTTCTGTATTTAATATCTCAAGTACATACCCTTTTAAATGATCTATTCCTGCTAGTCATTTTATTTTTTAGTGAAAGGAAAAGTTCTCCATATATATAAGACTAAGACATACATATGTATTTTCGGTTTTTTTAGCAATAGCAATGCAAAAAGTACCAACTTTGGGTGCAAGGTTTATAAAACATAAAAATAAGGACGGGCAGTATAGAAAAAAGAAGTAGGAAAGAAGAAAGAAAGACAAATAAAAGTGTTTTAAAGAGTGTGTCTAATAAGAACAACTTTTTGTAGAAAGGCACCTTTCGAATGCTTTCTAAATTAAAGCGAAAAAGTGCTAAATCTATACGGAAAGGTGCAGGACACATTGAAAAAAGAAGAGGGTTAACACCAATAGTTTAATAATGATAGTTTGGAATAGAGCTGTTTTACTTAAAAAAATGCTCCTTATGAAAATATTATTATTATAATTTTGAGAGATTTTGCATTGTATCATAATGACCTCTTGTACCTTCTAATTCATGATTCATAATATTATCACAAAGCGAAATTTTCAGATAGAGTAGTAGTATTCAACCCATATTACAGAGTGTTATTTTTGCAATTATTGTTAAAAAAAATTTGAGGGTTATTCAAATTTAAAGAAATGAAAACAGATTTATTTTTCTGTTTTCCTGTTTCTCTAGAAATCGTTTATTGGTTGTAGCAGTGGCAAGTTATCAGATATTTTGCGCTTCCCATAATAAGCGATTATGTGCGTTTTACTCACAAACTTTTTGCAAAAAAATCGAAAGAGATAAAAATTAAATTCATTTTTTTAAATCGAGGGATTAAATTAAATTTCAAATTAAAACTGGAAGAGATAAAAATTTGATCCATTGTTTTAAATTGAGTTAATTAAACCTTTTTTTCTTACTGATGAATAGTCGGACAAACTGTACCTTAAAACCCCTAAAATGAATAGTCTGACAAACTGTCAAAGATATATATCTTTAAAATCTATTTTTTCCGGAAACTACTACATAACAATCACAGAACAAATGCTTCGCAAGGGAAGTTATCTATAACTTTGTCTCAAAAAGCCACTTAGCTTTTTTACTCTTCACGGGACAGATCGATTAAGTAAATTTATATTTTTTAAATTTGTACTTAAAAGTTTAAGTACCTTATATTGAAGTTTTAAATATTATAATATTCTTTTATTAAATAACAATAATTTCTTGTTTGAAACTTAAATTTATAAACAATTTTCAATATAAATACAAATTTATGATTATACCAACGCGTAACATTATTTAAAATTAATTTATAATATATTGTATAAATATTACATTATAATTATTATGTTATTTTTTTTTAGCCGTTTATAATATATATTTATTATTTATATTAATTTATTATTTGCTGATGTGACCATACCATACTTAAACGACAAGGGTTAATGTATTCATATACACGATGGTTGGTTGATTGGCGTTAGTGCTGACAGAACTTCTTCGGTCCAAGTTGACATTAACGCCATTTTGTTGGTACATACTAGAACATTGAATTTAAGATAAGAATTTTGAAATCGGCCTATTTGGTTAATTAAAGAAGTTATTGTTTATATTTAAAATGGCTGCTGAGTTGGTTAATGTACATAAAAAATCAATGTTCATAACTTGTATATAAAAATCTAAAATCTTTTATATAGATCTAGATACTTAAGTCGATATGTTTATGGTAGTTTTACTCAAAACATAAAATTTCAAAAGTCGATAGTAATTACCATTGTAATTCCCTCACTTAGACATTGTTCACTACTAAGACAGTTTTAAGTAATTGTTAAATAGAGAGGTTTGGAAAAGTAGATAACTACAACAATAAAAATTATTTTTATATTAATTTGATTAATTGATTTTCTGACTGACTATACAACTGTTGCAAAGACCACTAATGATGAATATTTGGCAATACTCCAAACAGCTGCATGGGCAGCCAAAAATTTAATTTATTAAGGTGATTGTTAAATAATACCAAGAGATGTTAATGAAAGATAATAATGAATTATAGTTGTCAAATGTTTACATCTATAGATTCTATATAATGAAAATTAATATATACGCACACAGTTTTTACTGTTACTAAAAGATGATAATATATAATAGTAACAGATGTTGACAACTATAGATTCTATATAATGAGAAGTGATATATACACAAACGTTGATAGATTCTGTGAAATTCAGACTAAAATATACACCTATATTCTCTATCTATGTACTCTAAAATACATTGACACCTACAGATTTTGAGAAATGCAGAGTGAAATGTTCGTAGATGTTGTCTACTTATGTCCTATATCCAGTGTGTCTATATGGCCTTCATTGAACCAAGTGAGGGCAGGGATATTGAACCAAGAAATTTTTACAGACAAATCAATATTCCTCAACCGAATATGAATTATATGTATATGTTATGCTATGTGAAGGGACATAAATAAGTTGAGGTAATTTCTTATTATAAATCCATATAAGCAGATATGCTTACTACCAATAGTGACCAATAACAAATGCTCTACTTACCGAGCTCGTTACTCGTAATAGTACATACCTCTAGCGTGAACTGAGTTTATGTATGTAGAGTGAAAAAAGAAAATATTTTTTAAAATAATTAACTTTAACAAAAAAAAAATATATTATTAAAATAATAAATAAAAAAAATTAAACATAATAAATGATTTTGTTTTGTATTAATGAATTTTATTTGCAATAACATTTACTAAATCCTAAACTTATTTATCCTTAACCTGCAAGGAGAAAACAAGACAACATAGAAGAATAAGAATTTCTTTAAAATAATTTTCTTATCGCTACATTTTTGCATTATTTGTAATACATATATAATCAATATAAGCTAATTTAATTAATTATTTTAATTAATTATGTATTTCATGGTTTCAACACATTTGCTTACAACATCAATTTAAGTATACAATTTAGATTTGTATTTTTATGTATTTTGAATACTCATTTCAATATTAGTCGATATATTATATTAAACAATCTGATAACACAATTACACATTAAATTGATAGTAGTATATATGTATGTATATAGATATATTGAACTTAATTTAATATTTGATATAAGACAGATCTTTGTTACTGATATCTTGTAATTCATATTTTCAATTTATATACTTAAATTATTTTTAAATTTGTGTTTTCTACTATTAGTTTTATTATTTCTAATAAAAAAAAAACTTTTATATAAAGTTAGCATAAAATATTTTGTGAAAGTATCAGTTTTTCATAAATTTATGTTCAGTCATTTTAGTCGAATTATTAAAAACATATTTTCTTATAGAAATATTATAAATTGTTTTTTTTTTGTTTGTTAGATATAGTATATTTCATATATAATATAATGTATGTATATATGTAAGTTAAAATAAAATTAAATTTTGTTAGAAAAAATTATTTAAATACGAAACAATAGTTTAATTTGTATTAATTTAATTTAATTAATTTTAATTAAATTTATTTTAATTTGATTTAAATTTTTTTTTATATAATTTAATATGTTTTAATTACTTTTCTCTAAAATTGAAATTTATTTATTTTTTTCAAATTGTCGAGATTGTCTTGTCAGAAGTTAGTAATTAAATCGTAAATCTTTTTCTCTTGAAGCAATTAAATTTTAATTTGTAAATGAATTATTTTTTTTAAATTAACAAATTTTTTTCTAACTTAAGTTTTAAAATTAAATTTTAACTTAATTCATGCAACAGTTAAACATTAAACATTGAGGCCAGCCCATTTTTAATATAACATATTAGTACAGTTTTTCTGTACATATGTCCTAAATCTATACTAAATTAAAATAAATTCCTTTTCACTTCAGGAATACAGTTTATGGTTACTGTCATTTCTTTTATATATATATACTATATATATATATGTATATACCATAACTGTTATAAGTTTTTGTTTTTGTTTTGTAAATATTTAAATTTTAAAAAATATTTTGACTTATTTTTTTTTCACACATTTATTTTTACACAATTCTGTGCGTACTAACACACCCCGAGTACTACCAACCTCCACTTTCAATTTGTACCATATTGTGACATATATTATTATAACAGTTCTAAACTCTTCATAACACTTTGTGTGCTTCACCATTATCTTTAGTCACTTCTTCAGTTAATTTTGTATTGATTTGATTATTTCTGCATGCAGTATTCCAGCTCGTTTTCGCCAATCGTCAAAGTACACTGAGGTTGGACCGGCTGTGGCTTTAGTAGCCCTGAGAACAACCTCTTGAATGCCAAATGCTATTTGCACGTTGTCTTCTTGGCATTGAGAGATACTTGTTTTGTTTTTATATCAGCCAAAGTATGTATTCCTTGTTCCTCGAACTTTTTCCATTGTGAATAATTGATTTGCATATAAGTTATCAATTGTGGCATATCAATAAAACCTGTAATAGAATATGAATTTATTTTTTGGAATCCCATTATTTTCTATAATTTATTTAAAAACTTACTATCCCATGCATGCATCATATCCTGTATGATATATTCAATAAAACCAATTTGACTTTTGGGTATGCTACAAGTCGCTCTATCAAACATCGGCATTACTATTGGTAACGATTTGGTTTTTTCTTCATCTGTCTGCGTGAAATATTCTTCAGCTATACGACGTGCCCACTCTACACAAAATGCGGGTTGTCTCGCCGGATTACTTACATCCGCCACTTTGATCAGCATTCGTCGAATCAATATTGAGCTCTCGTCTTCAGTTTGAACAATCTATTAGAAAAATTAATGAGAAATTTTTTTTTATTACAATAATGATTTTGGTTGAATTTAAATAATTATTTGGTGTTTTATCTAATAATATATTTTTGGAAAGAATATTGACAAAAGAGAAATTGTAGGATGGACCAAACATTCAAATGAGATTAAGAAAGTGGAACAAGTGGAGAAACTTCACCTTACTGTTGTGAAAGGTGAAGTTTCTTTTCCTATGCATAATCATTATGTATTTGGATAATCAGACCTATTAAAAATTGTATCAGGCTTCGACCACTAAATGAAAGTTCGTCAGAAGCCACAACATGTTACCTTTTTTAGTATTGGTTGTATACTGATCTTTCAATATATGTACATACCAATGCTATTCCTGTAACATCACAGGAATTAACCGTAAGCCGACTTCTTGGAAACAAGGCCGCCTCTCCAACTTACCGACACAGATGAGTTAGCTCAGTCGCACGAAATTACAGTTGTTTAAATAACAAAATAACCTTAGCCTTAGAAAGTAACGCAATAGCTAGGTGGGGCTCCTCAACTCTACGGTTTATTCAATGCCCAAACAATAGCAACAATTAGAAATATGATATATAAATTATTTGTTCAGGTATGGACAGATTGCAAAGGATTAAATAACTAATATCAAATCTTTGCATTATTGCACGTCAAATTATAGAATTATCAAATTTCACAACCGAGGTTGTTATCATAAATGGTTCTAAAAAAAAATTTAAAAAATTAAAAAATTCCAATATAATCTTTTTAGACAAGCGTACCACCGGTAAAACAAACTTATGAAGATATGCAATACAAGATGAAATGTAATACTGTTTGTCATAGGTAGTCTAGAGTACTTTAATGCTCAAGACAGATAACAAAAATTAGTAAGATTAGTCAGTCTAAATCGATCTTAACTAAACTAATGGATTAATAGTTATTTTTTTTAATTAACTTTCATCTTTTTCTGATGGGATCAAAGATGAAAATCAATATCCATCTTTTGCGCTTGTGTACTTTAATTGTAAGAAACCGTGTCTAATATATCTATTTGATTCTTATATTTCAGTGAACAAAGTATCCAGAAATATTACATAAACTACACAAAATATTATCAACCTATCTGTCACTTAATGATACCTTTGAAGAAGGTAACATGTGTTTCAGAAACGCCTTCCTCTAAGAAGTAATTTTAGTTTCAGGAAATTTAAAGTATTCCGGATAGTATTTATACTGCACGTATATATATGTGTATTCCATTTTCTCATTTCTGCTACTCAAATTCCAGGAAAATAAAATTAAAAATCTTTTACGAGAGTTTATAAATTAATATATATTCGGGATACTTAGTACACTGAATATTTTTTGTGCACATATATGACATATGTCTATATCATTGCAGAGAATTAATTGTAACAATTAATTAAGTTTTTTATAATTAAAACACAGTACTTACATCTCTGGGTTCCACATCGGTGCCAAATACACTAACAAATTTTGCTAGATGTTCAAAATGCCGCGTCATTTCAGTTGCTAAAATCATATCAACTATAGTACTTCGTACCGATTTGTAGGTTTCTTTGTCTAAATTCTTGAAAATATTGATCTTATCGTCACCTGAAATTTATAATATTTTTAAACTTACGAATGAATACGAATTCGAATAAAGAACTTACCTAAAGTCAATTTAAAAGTAGTAGCAGCATGATGTGATTCCAGTACAGTCAGGTCATTATACAATATGGCTAATGGGCTATTTGAATTACAGAGAAATGCGGACGAGCGACCCGGATGGTCTATGTCATGTGCTGCAGCTGCAATAAGTGCAGTAGCCTCATCCATACGATCCATCATGATTTCTTTAAAAGAAAGTTGTGTTAAAAATGAACCAGTGGCCTATAATAAACAAAAATAAATTTATTTGAAACGATTTTTGTATTGCAATATTAATGAGTATTACGAACCTGCATAACATCGGCTGCATGGGTACTATTATGATATGAATTTTGTTCATGATAATTAGCCTCAATAACTGCCAACCAACTTTTGCATATGTTCTCATCGATATTGAGTGTTGCGAAAACATCAAAACGTCGAAAGATTTCCATACCCAAATACAAAAGTGGACGTTTTTCAGTGATATCTTCCAATTTGAATATATCAAATTCCCAAGAGAGAGATTCTTCGAGTAGTTCCATTATTAGTGGAGTTGCCTAGGTGAACACAAAGAAATTCATTTAACACAAAATGTATGGACTAATATAATATGAATAACTTACTTTCATTTTTGCTGGCATGACACCAGAGGGGCGACTTGATACACGTATAATGGAGTCATTTGAGCTACGTCTTGAGGAATATAAACTAGGTCCCTAAGATTAAAAAAGAAAAGCAATCAAATATTAATATTTTTTGTTAGCATTAGAATATAATACCGTTAAGAGTGCACCAATTAAATCGGTTGCTATAGGATCCTCTGTACGTATTTCCTTCATTTGCGGACTATAAAGACCTTCACGTTTCAAGAATTCCAGTACTTTATCTATGAGGCGCGCCTCATCTGCCGAACAATTCTCCTGTACTTGTGAGAGTAAATTGATTATCTATTATGCGAGCGTGGTTTTCGTGAGCAGCAAAAATCGTAATGATTACGAAAAACGAACGAACGAACGAACGAACGTGAGCAAAAGAGTTAAATCAATCAAAACAAAAACGAAAAACAAAATAGAAAAAGAGAAAAAACATAGTTTAAGTGTGCGTTAGAAAATTGTTGTTGTTAGATGTTTAATTTACTTAAGCTTAGCATAAGTAATTCACAATAAATCAAATTATTGTGAATACTTTTAGCTTTATGTGGGTAATTAGTTGGTATTTGATGGCAATACTGTGCATAAGTGTTTACGAGGGTTATTACGAAAGTTTTCAAGCGAGAATAATTATTACTAGTTAATTTTTTATTGTAATATTATTTTAGCTTTGAAAACTTTCGAAATGCCTCCATGTATTTGTGCTGTTCTTTTTTATGATTTGTGTTCATATTTCCATATTGTGCAAAATTTTAAACGAAACATTTGCAAATAGCATAAACAAAATTCAAAATGTAGTAACATATTTAACAATTTCTTCTTTCAAAAAAACGCACTAATGCACAAAACTCAATGAAAAAATGAGTTCTTGTTATTGGATTAAGCGGGAGCTGATTGGGTGCAATATGGGAAATTTAAGCGAAATGATTTTAGCTTGTTAATAAGTCCTACTTTTGTTATTGGCGCTTCCAGTGGTAGTGAGGTCAATTTTGCTAGACTAGTACGTCGCAGTCCATCGGATGCAACTGATCGTACATCGAAGCTTCCTCGCCTTATAGAATGTAGAGAGCCGCGTGGTGCTTCCTTCGGTTGTGGTAGTGTCGCTATAAAATCATTTTGTCCACCAGGTACATCGAAATTAAATACAAAATGTGTTGGAGTTCTAGAAGAAAAAAAATCAATCAACAAAATTTAAATTTATATAAAATCAATTTAGACTCATTATTTATTTAGAAAAAAATTTTTTAAAAACTTGGAATATATTGGTTGAGATTGATAAGTGTACTCGGTTTTTGCCATTAGATATGGTTGGTGTTCGTATATAAACAAACATGTGTTTGAAAGGTAACATTTCATGTTAATTTTTTTGTGAAGGCATCTGTGTAGTGTGTCACATGTGTGAAAAGTAATACTGATTTGAAGATGAGCAAAATATCAGAAGATATACGGCTATGTGCATCCACCATATAGATCGGACTTTACACAATTTGACCACTATTTATTTCGATCTTTTCAAAACTCTCTTAATGGTAAAAAATTAGACGCTCGGAAAATCGTTGAAATTCTCTTAGCCAAATTTATTGCAGATAAATAACAGAAGGTACACATCGATGGAATTAGGGATCTACCCTGAAATTAGTAGGCCTTTAGTTCAATATATACTAGATTAAAATTGGCTTTCAATAAAGACAATTTTGCTTTTCTTTTAATATCACATAATAAAAATTTTAAAAGAGAGTTTTTTAAAAAATAATTCCACAGCATAATTCAATTTAACCTATTTAAAATTACGGTTTAGGCCTATAGGTTAAATGATAACTAGTCTACCCTAAAAAAGATTGCGAAAAACGGCAGAGAGGGAGCTAAAAAGGAGCTATGAAGTTTTTAACAGAACTTTATTTAGAAAGACGGTCGGGGCCTTATACATTACTGGAATTGCGGATATTCCATTAATTTATTTCATTAGTATATACATTAAAGATTACAAAAAAGAATAATAAATAGAAGCGGCTCCTGTTTGGTAAATGTATATATGTACATTCATCTAGCTTAATTTTTTTATTGGGTTTAATACAGAATACATAAAATTGATTGTTATATTGTCTTATAATAGTTGAAATTGTTTAAATACAACTATAAGTAAAAAAAAATTACTAAATAAACCCTTATTTCACTCAAACCATCAGTCAATATTTAACTTTGTTCAAGTATAGAATAAAATATAATATTGAAGTTTTATATTACAATTTTTATACATCATTTAAATTGCCCTACTAGTTTAGTTTGGGTTATACTGGCGATCTTAATGAATCACTGAATAAGAATTCAGAGGTTTAAAAACCAACTGAATTTTTGTCAAAACTTAAAATGTTTAAAGAGATAGGTACTGAAGATGGCAAAGATCCTCAAACAAGGAAGCCATACTATAGTTAATCTACGCCATGTATGCACTGTGCAGTAACAAGGTAAACGAGAGGTACTTTTATCGTTCTGACCACAACTGCAACAGAAATGATCAGATACGGCATGTATGTATATATGCGTATCATCCATTTGCTTATCCTGCTTATTAAATTCCAGGAAAATAAATTTGAACAGACAAGATGATTAAATTGGAGATTTAATCTTTTTCTGACCTAATTAAATTCATTTCAATTATAAAGTAAATCTCTTAAATCTTATGTGAGCCATTAGTTATTAGTACTGATTTAGAGTACTGGCCAGCTAACAGTCAAAGAATAAGCTAAGGGTCAAAGTGGCAGCTAACAATATAAAAATAATGAAAAATGATATATTAAATCTTCTTAGCCTACCCATGTAAGCAAAATGATATGTAAAAGTGTCAGCTTACAGCACCAAAAAAAAAAAAGAATGGCATAAAACAGTAAACTAATTTTCTGTTTGAAATCTTTGTTTAAACATTTTTAATATTATATTTAATAGATGTTAGCAATTCATTGTCTATAAAAGTCTAATTTAGGTCACTTTAGCTTATTGGCTCATTATATTACAAGTTGTAAATTTGAAATAAGCTTAAAGGGGATTATTTTAGCTAATATTTTTTGCTTCTGAAATCAATTCATTTTTTAAACAAACATTTTTGTTTCATTTTTGAATTTCTGATCTTTTAAACTTATGTTTTACTAAAACTTCTCTTTTTAAAAACAACTATTTTTTGAATAAATATTTTGAATATGTGAATCAAAAAATTCCAAAAAAAAAAGAAAATTTTTGCAAAAAACAGAAAAACTTTTCAATTAACTCTGTTAGTATTCGAACCATACGTATTCCAATATTTACCTCCCAATACAAGCCACAGGCACTACACGTACGTGCATTGGTATGCCATCCTGGCACTTACGGCGAACTGTTAAAATTCCATCGAATTCTCTAATGCTTTTTCCATGTGCACTTATAGATGAAACATCCGAAATAAAAATGTCTGCAAGTGGTTTACTGATAATTTCATCCTAAAAAAAAAATAAAAAAAAAATAGAAATAAATATTAAAAGATATTTCAAAAACATTTTAAAATTCCTATTTATAAGCTTGTCAAAAGTATTACACCGCAAGGTAACTATAATTCTTTACTAATTGGCCAGCAATTTGATTTAATTGGAAGAATATTTTCCATTTTTGTGCCACTAGTGATGCAAAGGAGTTTTATTAAATCAATGATGTTTGACTTACCAAACGCATATTCAATAATCTTTCAGCAGATTTATTTGCATATTGTATTCGAAGTACATCATCGGTTATGATAAGGACCTCTTTGAGCCTGTGAAGGGCCGTGTAAAGTGCCTGTAAAGATATTAAGAATTTTTATTAAAAGAATTTTAATTTAATTGTTTAATACAGTATACTTTTTATTCTATTAAAATAAAAATAATGTGTGTACAATTATTTAATATTATAATTTATTTATTAATAATAATTTTAAACAATAAATGAAATAAAAAATAAGAAATAAGAATTAAAAAATCTACTATCTTTTGTATACTTTTCGTTATACTTGTTTATATAAAAGTTTAAAACTTTTAATTAGTCTAATATTATTATATATTTTAAAAATATTTTATAACTTTTGTTAATATCACAAAGAAATGTATATCCAACTTATATGCGCCTCAAAATATGCAATCTTTTTTAAACATTTTCAAGTCCTTATGCGCTCAAAGTTAAATTATAAATTTTGTACTTGTTTCCGTTTTCATTTTATCTTATTTTATTTTATTTCGGTTTTTTTTCGTTATATAAGTCAAAAGCAAAAGTTTTTCATTTCCTGTCTGAATTATGTTAATTCCAACTGAAAATTTAAGTTAAGAAAAATGTTCACAGTGTTTACCTGTTGAGTTGACATGACGTTGTGTGGTCGCACAATTGAATGTAAAATTTGTTTCAATTCGATGCTGCACAAGGATAAGTTCGTAGTTTCCGCCATGCACTAAAAAAATTTTAAATTTAAAAAAAAAATTATTAAAATTTATTTTTAAAAAACGTATTCGTATTTTTTATATAGTCAAAGCGTACAAATTAACTTACTCTATTAACGCCAGCGTCTAATAATGCAATAAGGACATCGTCCTTTTCAAAGAAGCTGCAATAGAAAGATAAAATAATAAATACTTTAAGCGTATTAAATATTTTTGTTTAATTTTATAAAGAGAGATAATATATACAATTTCAAATATTAAATTATAATTAATAATAATTAATAGAAATAAATAAAAAACTCTGAACTATGGCGTAAACTAACAAAAATATAGTTTATTGAAATATAAATGGTCTCTACAATTTATTATATACTATCCATACATTCTTTATTTTACTCGTAAATCTTAGTTAGATTAGAATGTAGTAACTAGTAATGAACCAACCTTAGCTGTTTCATATATAAAAATAACCCAGGTGTGCATATTTACAAACACTGATTACTTATTTATTTATTCCCGTGATGATATGAATAAAACTTATAAAATAATTTATTTGTTACAAATTTTTATGACCCGTGACAGAAATTCTATTTTAAATAGAAGAGAGAGTAATAGTGAGGAAATACTAAAAATGGATTCTTAATGTGACCATACACTTAGTTCTGATTTTTTTAATACTGCCAAATATCAATCATCTTTGATCTTAACTGTATTCGGACTTAACTTAACTGTATGATAACTGTATTCGGAAAAATACGATGGTTGATTATATCTTTGCAAAATGCTACTTATGACGGCTAGTGGATGATAATAGTCTGTGGAAAACACCACTAATAATATAAGGTGGGTGATGATGATCTTCCGAAAAAACTTTTCATGACGAATAATCGATGTTGATGATCAAAACCATTTATGATGAATGTATAATAACGGTCTTTAGAAAGCCCACTTATGATACTTATTTACAGTTTCGAAGCACGTCACTTATTATGAACTTATAGACGGTTTTTGAAAAACGCCGTTTATGAAGAATTTTTGATGACCTCTGAAAATGGTAACTTATAGTAGATGCTGAATGAATACGGTTTTTGAAACTGGTAAAAAAGAATAATGACTAATTTTGATAAAGATTTTTTGATGAAATGGATGGTGGTGGTCTTTAGAAGGGACCATTTATAAGGCATTATGACGCTTTAAGAAAACTATTTAAGAGGAGGGCATTTTATGGTGAATGCTGAAAGTCTTTGAAAAAAACTAGCTATGATGGATGATAATGATTTCTGGAAAAATTCACTTATGGTTACTGATTGATGATGACGATCTTTGACAAAGATCACTAATGATTGATATTTTCAACCTAGAAATTTACTTGAAAAATTATTTATTAAAATTTGATCATTTATTTATAGAGCATAATTACTCTCGTAAACAGAGAGAAAAAAAACTATAAATTATTTACTTATCTTAAAAAAAGAACTAAAACTGTGATTTTAGTTTTCTTAAAACATTTTATAATTTTTATTATTAAATAATTGTAAGTATTAAATAACTATGTGTCGAAAATTATGGAAAGTACATATTAAAAATATTGAGTAAATGATAATTTAAAGATATGTAAGACAAGTTTAATCGGGATGTCGCTGGGAAGTACTGTATCATATTAATAATAAATTCAGTTTTTAGAATAGCTTAGACAGAAAAAGACTATAAAAAAGAAAAGTCAACTAGGCTACTCAATAAGAACGTCAGTTGTTACAACAGAGAAATACCCTTCTATTCGAATGCATGACAAGAAAATAGAGACCACTTCTAAAAAAGAAGAATGTATGTAGAAAACAACAACAAAAGAATTATATAAATCAAAGATTAAATAAGAGAGCGATGGAGAGAGTAGTTGATGAAGTACTGGTTTATTCCAGACAATTATGCTAAGTTGAGTAAGGTTTGTTTGGAGCGGTTGATGAACTACTGGTCCATTCCAGACTATTTTACTATCTTAGATGAGATGAAGTTGGCTAACCAAATTCCATTTGGGTATAAATAATTGCTCGTGTAATTTCACAGATTTTACGTTGTTTATACTCTATACCAAGAGAACCAACACAAAAAGATAAGACTAAAATAGATATTATTAAAGAAAACATGCACGATTCTCTTATTTTAGTAAAAATGAACCAAAACGATAACTCAATAAACTTGGTTCCGTCTTTAATTTTCATGAATGGCAGATCTGTCCGGTCGTTAAGAAAAGGGACCATTTTTAGTCTAATTTACAATACTGTATATAGTAGGTATTCACATATAGAATAACTATTGTTAAAGTATTAAAGTATTGTTGGAATTGTTAAAGTATTAAAATACTTTAATCCTGTTTATAATGGTAAGTACTTTATGCTGCAGTAACATATTTTTTATGATATTATTTAAACCAAATTTGCCTACTTATATTTTTAATTAAGACATAAAACAGTGTAAAGCTGGTATTAAAATTTTTAACTACTGAAATTAAGAAAAATATTAATAATTAATTCTTCATAATAAATTTGTATAAATCCTACATCAAAATAAAATAAGTAGTAAAATCCATCCTCTATACTCGTCTATTCCCTAATTTGTAAAAAGCAAATAGCCATAATTTATTAACACAATAATTGTCATTTTATGGGACTTAATATTTACCCCAACTAAACCCTTGTAAAGGACGAAATAACAAAAAGTTACGAAATTAATTCACTTCACATAAGGAACAGGAAATCGCCGACATTATAAACAGAAACACTAACGAATAAAAATGAGAAAATGTACAAAATTCTTGATTAATTGATAATAAAATTCTTGTGTAAAGAAAATAGAACTACGAAAGGATAAATAAAACCAAAAAAGAAAAGAAAATAATATACTGAAAAAATTAAAGAAAAATACTTGGAAATCTTAAAAGTTATTTAACGAAAAATCGAATTGAGTTTCACAAGTCAAAGAATAAAAGAACTTCTAGAAAAGTACGATAAATGCTCTGTTGAGAGTAGATAGCGATGATTCCTAACTGGAAACACAACACCTGCAGAATTTATGTTTGCTGTTTTGTATTGCAAGTTAAACTTTTTAATGTCAATAACGAAACTTCTCCAACAAACTGACTGACACATCAAAGTGTGAATTGTACACACGGAATTTCACTTCAAATTCTCACGCCAACAGATCCTGGTATCACATCCTGAACGCACACCCGCTATGTACATAAACTGGGGCAGACAGACAAAGTTGCAGTTTGATTAATTAGAAGTTCTTAATTTAATAACATTTTAGAAGCCATTTTAGAAAATGGCAGCCACAATGACAGCACCGTGAAAACAAAGTTTAATTAACGCCACCGAAGTGTAATGGAGACAGGATAAGCACGAAATCGTAAATAATTTGTTGCCTTTTAACACTTTGCAATGTTCCAAATTAGTTTGAAAATTCTTTTAGTCAACCTTAAGTAGATAATCGCAATTAAGAGCTTATCAGTAGCAAAAGCTAAGAAATTTTCAAATTTTTCATATGTAAATATATAATTATTATCAAGTATTATAAATATTCCTCAATTATTAATTAATTAATTAATTAATTAATTATTATTAATTAATTACTCCTGAAGGAGTAATTAGACATCAATATGTTATTTTTTCCATATAATAATAACATTCCATGGATCCGTCGTATCTATCTTCGGGGTAGATGCTATCCAGTATTTTATTTACTATAATATTCAGACCTCATTGCTAATTTCTCATCGATCTAATTTTATTTAACTGAACTTCTATTTAGAGCGGACAATTAAAAATCAATTGAAGAATTACTTAGGCTCAGAACATCCTAATAGTTGATAGGCTATCATTAACAGCACATTACAAGCTGCTTGAAAGTCGTCTGATTAATAGGACATCTTCGTCACAACATACTGATGATGAATAGAATTCAAAGCTTTATCTACAGCGCAATGGAAAAGATAAATAAATAAAAAGCATATGGGTATCTATGTAGTCAAAATATGCCGTCTATGGATACCCATCATAATTCATCAACCCCGCAAGGAAAAAGTTCATAATCGATTGTTTGGGTATGATTATTTATGAATTATATATTAAAAAAAAGGAATTGTGGATAGTCGAAAATAATATTACGAATTGCGAGAATTCTATACCATCACAAAATGCTGATAATCACAGAGTCTAGACATAAAACTTGGGTAAAAGTTTATTTTGGGAATTTCACCCAGATTATGCAAGAACGCTTATCCTAGTGTCCTCATGCAAATTCTGCTGAACAGTTACAGAGAAGACGCTCAATAGTCTTCTATTCTTACTCATTGCATTTTAAGAGCTTTGGTTGGATTAGTGTGCTTGCTATTCTGAGAGAGACCTGCTGTCACCTCCATTAAGTCAGCAAGATCTTGTTCACAAAGTCGTCTCAAATATTTTGCTTCTTTACCATCCACTTCTGGCTATATTATAGATAGGTGATTGTTTGCAGTTAGAGATATTATTTCATCTGCTGTTGAGGTAAGGGATATATTTCAGCAGTATTGCCGTATCTGGTAAGGTTGTCTGCCATGCAATTACTTTTAATGTCATATTCATTTGGCATCCATACCATGAGTATGTCCCACTGCTCAGAGAGCTTTTCGAAAATTTAGGATTATTTTCGTAATTTTTTTTTCAGAGCAATCGACGTGTTATAGTAAGTACTATGCCTACTCAATAAAATCACTTTCGTTTAATATAGAATATACTCGGTTAATTCCACAGTCGGAAAAACTCATATGTTCAGGTTGTGAGAGCAGACTTTTTCTTCTACCTTTTTTTTTAGTTTGGATCGATTCGTATATATGGGATAGTGGCTTCCTTTAAACAATTTTCCTTCTTCGTATTCCGTTCAAACAGGAAATAGAGTTAAGATTTTTATCTTAAATAATAATCAGAATGTGATATTCTGACAACATTTTGAGTAGGAAAGCATGTCTATCATCACCCTGTTGTTATTCAACCCATCGTATCAGAAACTAATATCGGAAGCTTTATAAATTTTTAAAGAAAATAAATTGGTTGAAGTGTTTCAAGTAAGTTATCTCTTGAATCAGGAATACAGGTGTCATAAAAAACTGTCTAGGAAACAAATCATTAGGTGAACAGACACCTTAAAAACAAGACCCCTACGGTTATTTCATGGACCCATTGACACTCTACATGGAGTCTACCACAGACTCACACTTGAACCTGACCTAACCTTCGTCATAATTGACTTCAAAAAGTTAATTTAACAAGTATTTGTATTTTATGAAGTTAAAGAGTTAAAAGACTAGTAGATCTTTTGGTGATATAATATAATTCAATGTCAAAATATTATTTGTTATTTATATAAGAACTTACCTTTTCTTTACAACTGTAATTATTGTTGTGAAATGATGTCCATTTGTGTGACGAATTGACCTAAAAATACAAAAAGGGCTTAATGACGAAAACCACTTAGGATTAATATGTTATCTTAAAGTGTTTTGATTATATAAATTTACTGAATTTAAGGGCAAAATAATTTAAACGCAATAAAGTGTGTCCTTAAAATCTGCACCCAATAAAATTGTACAAAACCAGCAAAGCTACGGTAAATGCCATTAAGAAAATTGAATTCAGTACTAAAAACCTGCAGCCGGCAACTAAGACACATCATTACATCATCATCATTATTAGCGTTTGGGCTAAAAACGATTTAGTAACAAAACCTCATTTGCCCAATATTCTGCATTTGCCCCACATACCACAACCCAACGTAATGCTGCTCTCAGGCTATGATGCTATGCGGAATATTACTCTACTCTTACTCCTACTCACCTGGTAATGTACTCAGCATCCAAATACTTGGTTGAGCGCGCATCAATTACAATTAAGTGATAGCATTCCGCTGTGGTGTTTGTATTTGAAAGGATCTCAAGCGCTGCCTCCTTTGTCTTCACCACAGTTACGTCCAATTGTTGGCGATGACACGCTTGTGTCATTACTTCACAGATATTGTCCGATTTATGAAATACAAGTAGAGCCTTTTTATTTTTTGGTTCGTTTTGTTAACATTTTTGTTTCGAAAAAGGTAAACAGAGACCGAACAAGAAAAAGATAAAAAAACAAATGAGATAAACATTTTGAAGCACGAGGACTGAGAAGTAAATTGCAAAAGTTTAGTCAAAGCTAAATTTATTAGTCATGGCGTTTAAGTAAATTTACCTTAAGCTGAGGATTCGGTGGTAATACGGTTGGATATTTCAAGTCCATGAGATTTTTCTGCAAATAAAAAATTAAAAAGAAAAAAGCCAAGTTAAACACGGGCGCTATTATAAAAATATTACACAAAACACATTTTAAATATTTAAATTGCATATAAAATGAAAGTTCTTTGAAATTGAATTTGGTATCGTTGGTTATCAATTTGATACCTTTTAGTCGCACACAAACTCACTTTTAGTCAACACATGCCAATGTATCTGGTAGATACATTTAATATACATAGCTGCTTACAAGCTGTAATGTCTTCCTTTTATGTGTGCTTAGGCAAAGTATGCAGAAAGCTAATAAATTATTTTGTATTTTTAAACGAAGATAAATTATTCAAAAGTTTTTTATACGCAAAGACTGTCATGGCAAGCACCATTTTTGCTGTTTATTCCATTATTTTTACTAACTTGATAAACAGTATTGAGTGTGACTGGGAGGAGTTGAACCCTATATGTATCGGAAAATTATTTGTATTTCATGCCTTGTTTTTCTAAGGGTAATGATAGCAGCTTATTATTGTATCTCAAAAAATGGCAATATAATTTTAGGCGTTTATAAAATGGCAATTATTTCATCAATTACTGTGGAAATTGCTAATAAGCCTGCGGTACAAAATAATTTGTCATTATTACAGCGAAAAAATTGAATCGAATAATTAAAAAAATATATATTCCAACAAAACATCTTTAAGCAAAAGGAAATTTTAATACCCTATTTGTATATTTATTACTAAGATGAACATAACAAAAATAATTCGTGTGAATAAACACGATTAGTCATCGCTTCTAATTTGACAGATACGAGTTTTTAGCCTGGTATTTGCAGTGCAAACCAACAAAATACAGACTATAAACTTATCAAAAAGAAATTCGAATATTTCCTTAGACTACTGATGATAAGTACTTGGCAATACTCGAAACAGCGTTGTATGGTCAGCCAAATTTCAATAAATTAACTAAAATTTATGTTGTTGTTTTTTCATTTCTATTCGAATCATTCTAATTTTTAAATAGTTTCTTCTTGTCATAAGACGCGTCACGATTTCATATTTAAGACAAATTACTTAATTAATTAATGAATTAATTAAAACTCAACTTTATTGTTATTGCTTTCAAGTACTGTTTTTTTTTAATAAAATTATTTTCCTATATTTCGATTTTCTTAGACAATCATTTTTGGGAAACATTTTCGGTCATGGTTGATTGAATAGTTACAGTGGCAAGCCATTAGATAATTGGCAATTTTTAGCCATTTTACTACCATATCCTCGCAAGAACCCCTAAGATAGAAGAATACAGACTAAATTCATCCCATCGAATTTAAATAATTTAATATGTCTTTCGTCTTTACTGATGAACAGTTTGATAAACTGCTTTCGTATCTTTCTAAAAATTTATTTCTTCTGGACGCCAAAGAATTTCAGTTTCTTTTTCCTGCAGGTTTCTACAACATCTGTAGAGCGGATTATGGGGAATGCGCAGTTTCTCTGCGTGGAACCCACCAATGACCAGAAAGAACTGCGGTAAGTCTCTTGGATTATGGCATAAGTTCCCAGGATTTTGTTTTATTATAAGTGGATCATGTTAACCACTTGCGCATGACTAAGTGCCCTCCTTCTGTTATTGGCAAACTGAAGAAAATAAAGGTAAATACTTTTCTTAATGGTTTTCCAGGGTAATAAAAACCGGTATAGTTAGAGACGCATCCAGGGAAGCAATGGAGTGAGCTAAACTGTCAGATTTCCCATTCCCTTCGAAATTTCCATATTCAGGAATCCAGATGAGGGTGATATTAACCATTAGGTTTAGCTCATCGATTGCCTCTCTACTTTCATTTACTAACTTGGGTTTTGTAATGAAGGATTCAAGTGCTTTGTTTGCTGCCTGGCTGTCAATGAAAATGGTAACACTATATTTTTTCTTGATGTAACTAACAATTTGCAGTCATGCTTCTTTAATGGCTAAGATTTCAGCCTGATATTCCGTGGTCTCATTAGGTAGCCTAAGGGAATTATTTATGCTTGTAGATGACGTGAAGAGATCTGGTCCTGCACCGCAGTTTATTTTCGTGCCGTCCATATAGATTGAAATGTCGTAATTTATTCGAATGTTTCTTCTTTATCATTCGTTTCTTTGAGGGAATATTGTCTGAAAATTTCTTTCTCTTGGTCATACAAATGAATGAAGTAATTTTATAATTAGTTCAAATTGTATTTAAGTTTGCGAAAGGTAGTTAAAGATACTTTATATAATTAATTTAGAAGAAACCTACTTAAGTTCTAAAGAATTTTTTCTAGTGATATAATTTATATATAAACACATTTTTTGCAATTAAAATAACTTTCATATATTATTATGACAGAACGTTAGTTGGTGTATTATTTATTATTGAAGTTCATATGTATACAGACACATTTTATGAGGACATTAAAAATCACATCTATAAATATATATCTAAAATATTTCTTAAGCACATTTTTAATGAGTACTTAAAAATTGCAATTCCACTTAGCATTGAAAATTAAATTTTTACCATTAATTTTAAGTGCTTTGGGTATTTTTCACAAAACAATTAAACTGTACATATTTATTATATAAGATTATTAAATTTATTAACTATTTTTCCCTTTTAGTGATTTTCTTCATCAATTTCACAAAACCCCAAATATCAACTCTGTATAAAAAATGTATGTTAAACATTCATTCATTCGACAAAGGTTTAAAATTTTCATAAAATCTATTGATTTTAAGGGACAAACTTAAGCTTTTGGTTAATCCCTAGTAAAATATGTCGTATCAGTGTCAAAAATTATTAGCATTCATGGTATAAGTAAAATTTATTAATTTTTATACACAAGCAATTTTCAGATCCCTTAAAACTGTATTGAAAATTTTAATCTTAAGCTTCCATGAGGAAGAAATTTCATTTTCTTCCTTTATTTATACTTAAGCTTTGCCCTTTTGTCGTTCGATAAAATTTAAAGCTTATTGGATTTTTCTGTTTTCTTACACAATTTTTTTTTGTTGTCCTTAGTATTTATTTCAGGATATTTAATACTTCTTTTTTGGTATTTAATTTACTCGATGCGTTATACCTACACTTCGCTTCTCCCCTTCACGCTTGCTTTTTCGTCCTTTTGACAGGTGGCGCTTTGCGCTAATGCATCAGGATATGCCTTTAAGCGGGATTTGCGTTGGCCCTTTAATGTGTCTTTGCATTGTACTTAATCATAATTTGTTTCCTTTGCAATTTAGTGTAGCTTCTTGGAGCGGTGAGAACGAACACTGTTTAAAAGCTGTAAACTCATTTGAATTCACTTAACTTTGCTTATTGGCATTTTCGGAAACTGGAACGACTTTCAATTTGACTTCACTTTCAATGGGATTTTGTAATCTCATCAAAAACGAAAATATTTTACGTCATACTTCCCCTTCTCGGTTCATTTTTGTTTATTACTATTTTTAATTTATTTCTGCTGAAAGTACATAATAATATTTCTGCTTTATTCAGAGGAAAATTAACAAGTCAGAGCGATACTTTGTTCCGTTACTTGGAATAACGCTGAAAGCAATTAATTTGTTGATAAGGATATGAATCCAATATTTTGTTAGTTGAAATGAACCGATGAGTATATACATGTTGGCATGTTAGTGGGTGTCTTAATATTCACTAATGAAATCAAAAGTTAATATTTAGTAAGAAGATATTTTCATAAATTTAATTTGTAAAAGAACACAAATAGAAATATTGTAGCGATGTAAAGTGTTGTCGGGGTTATCAGCTTCACTTATCTCCGGAGTGATTGGAATAATACTCTGGTAAAGTGTCTTTACAACCACCTGACATAGACTGTCGCCTATATTCTTGAAGACTATTTAATGTATTCTTACAAAGTTGCATGAACCGAACTGCATGCAATAACTCTTGATATGATATCCTGGTTAAATACCTAAGATCTTTGGCTATTTTCACACTTTATATACAAATATAAAAGATCAAATTATTTACAAATTTATTTTGTGTATCTTCTTCTATTATCCTTTCCTCTCAGTAGAGCATAGGACCTTCACTACCGAACTCTTTTTTACATACTTTTTGATTAATGTCATTTCAACAATAATTTGCTGCTTACAATTCTGCATTAACTATCCTTCGTCATATTCTAGTAGGTATCCCAACAAGACGATCAGTTCCTGGCAGTTCCATTTGAGTGCTTGATGAGCAATGTTTTGAGAGGTCTGCCAATCACTTCTCAGATGTTGGCATTTGGTTGGTGACATCCCAAAGATTAGCATTGCTCACCAACATTGGTCACTAGATGTTGAGAATCTAACACAAACATTTGTTGAAAAATGCTTTTGGCGGTTTTAAGTGGTTCTAGGCGTACGTCTTACATCCATAAAAGAGGATGAATTCTAATTAGTTTGACGTTGAAATTATAGATGTTTTGCTTAG